GTTTTTTCCTTCTCCTGTAAAATTACCATTGTGGAGACATGAGGTTTTCTTCTCACAGCAGCATATGTATTTGTATATTCAAACAATAGAACATGAGAGGGAGTGTGTTATCACAAAATATAATCACAGGTGTGATGTTATTCGTGATAACACACAATCTCAAGTGTTTTATTGCTTTTATGCAACAGTTAAATAAATAAAGTAAGAAATAAATCAATTGGGCCGTGAACGTGTCATTTAATATGTTTCAGTGTTAGCAATTCTTTCCTTCTAATTATAGTTCCTTAACAAGCAGCTCGTTGCTACGTCAGAGTAACGAACTCCGCTCACTCACTGCTCAGTCTGCTGTAAGCCTCGCCTTTGAAGTACAGACTGAGCCATAAAACTGCCACAATATCAAGTTTAGCTCAGTTTTGTCATTTTTTGCTAGATCAATATTAATATGAATGAATAATATCAGCTTGGCCAGAACTAACTGTTAAGTATATATATATATATATATATATATATATATATATATATACAGTGGTGTGAAAAAATGTTTGCCCCTTCCTGATTTCTTATTCATTTGCATGTATGTCACACTTAAATGTTTCAGTTCACCAAACAAATTTAAATATTAGACAAAGATAACAGAAGTAAACACAAAATGCAGTTTATAAATGAAGATCTTTATTATTAAGGGAAAAAGAAATCCAAACCTACAGGGCCCTGTGTGAAAAAGTGATTGCCCCCCCCATTAAAACATAAATTAACTGTGGTTTATCACCTCTTTGGAAAGCTGAGTTCAATTTCCCTAGCCACACCCAGGCCTGATTACTGCCACACCTGTTCTCAATCAAGAAATCACTTAAATAGGACCTGCCTGACAAAGTAAAGTGGACCAAAAGATCCTCAAAAGCTAGACATCATGCTGCGATCCAAAGAAATTCAGGAACAAATGAGAAACGAAGTAATTGAGATCTATCAGTCTGGAAAAGGTTATAAAGCCTTTTCTAAAGCTTTGGGACTCCAGCGAATCACAATGAAAGCCATTATCCATAAATGGCGAAAACATGGAACAGTAGTGAACCTTCCCAGGAGTGGCCGGCTGACCAAAAGACTGGGCAAAAATGGCCTGCATGGCAGAGTTCCAAGACAAAAACCACTGCTGAGCAAAAAGAACATAAAGGCTCGTCTCAGTTTTGCCAGAAAACATCTTGATGATCCCCAAGACTTTTGGGAGAAAACTCTGTGCACTGACGAGACAAAAGTTGAACTTTGTGGAAGGTGTATGTCCCGTTACATCTGGCGTAGAAGTAACACAGCATTTCAGAAAAGGAACATCATACAAACAGTGAAATATGGTGGTGGTAGTGTGATGGTCTGGGGCTGTTTTGCTGCTTCAGGACCTGGAAGACTTGCTGTGGTAAATGGAACCATGAATTCTGCTGTCTACCAAAAATCCTGAAGGAGAATGTCTGACCATCTGTTTGTGTCAAGCTGAAGCACACTTGGGTTCTGCAGCAGGACAATGATCCAAAACACACCAGCAAGTCCACGTCTGAATGGCTTAAGAAAAACAAAATTAAGACTTTTGAGTGGCCTAGTCAAAGTCCTGACCTGAATCCGATTGAGATGCTGTGGCACGACCTTAAAAAGGCAGTTCATGCTCGGAAACCCTCCAATGTGGCTGAATTACAACAATTCTGCAAAGATGAGTGGCCAAAATTCCTCCACAGCGCTGTAAAAGACTCATTGCCAGTTATCGCAAACGCTTGACTGCAGTTGTTGCTGCTAAGGGTGGCCCAAACCAGTGATTAGGTTTAGGCGGCAATCACTTTTTCACACAGGGCCCTGTAGGTTTGGATTTCTTTTTCCCCTTAATAATAAAGACCTTCATTTATAAACTGCATTTTGTGTTTACTTGTGTTATCTTTGTCTAATATTTAAATTTGTTTGGGGATCTGAAACATTTAAGTGTGACAAACATGCAAAAGACTAAGAAATCAGGAAGGGGCAAACACTGTTTCACACCACTGCATACATTATATATATATATATATATATATATATATATATATATATATATATATATATATATATATATATATATAGTGGTGGAGGGCAGCTCTGTCACAGATGCGGCAGCCTAATACCGACATAGATATATAAAATTATAGAGACGCCCACCAGGAGTGAGCAGAGAGATCCTGCATGGTGAGAAAAAGTGCACATGGACTTGTAGCCTACTAACTCTCACTTCTCTCCACACAGCTTAAAGAGAAAGACCTCCTAACCCCACTCCTAGCCCCGATCAGTCCTGAAAGAGACTCCAGAGGCCCACAGGATCATCAGTACCAGCTCAAACATCTCACCTCTTGCCATCCACAGCCTGCTCTGCAGATCGTAATAATAATTTCATCTCTTTCACTCTGCATGGAGAAAAAAGAGGCAATCGAATCATTCCATTACGCTGCGCAGCGTAGCGATTTGGCAAATCTGCCTTGTGCTGGAGGTGAATGAATATTGACAAAGAGACACAGATGCATATGGAGCGGCCAGTCAATCAGCTAATGGCTGGCAGGGAGTTTGACGGACAGGCGCGGCGGCAGTGGCTCATTAATCTGAAGCGGTTCGGAGCTAATTGTCCTTATTTGCACCAGCCGCTGACCTCAGATCAGATAAACAAGGGCCGAGTGATTCGAGATTAGAGATAATAATCAGACTGAGTGCTGCTGAACTCTGGAGGTGCGGAGTCAGTGGAGTCAGCAGAGGTAGGTGCGCTGTGCTGTCCGTCAAAAGTTTGAGGACACATTTAAAAATCGAGCATGTTTTCTTTGAAAGTTGAAGGGGAACTCCACCAATTTTTTAATTTCCTGCATAAATAAATGGTTAAAAAAAGGCATTCAAGAGAAACTTGACTCTTGACTCACCCGACTTGTGAGTCAGAATTATTCACAGTGGTGTTAATAGGAACCGGACGTCCAAAACAGCTAAAGACTCCCTCACGGAAAGTGCAAAAATTACAAAGTGGTTCCAGATATGCTACCTAATGCCTGACACACTGTTTTACAATACTTTTGAGGGTATTTAGGCCTAAAACGTGTTTTTAAGATGGACACAGATGGACAGATACATGCATGACATTGCAGGGCTAAACAGCCCCTCAAAAAAAAACAAAAACATTTCATTATGTATTTTATGACATGTTTTACCATAATCAATACTACAGATTTTGAAGACATCATGCCTTCTGGTTCTCATCACCAAAGAAATCTGACTTCCTCTACCGTGAGTCATTTCACAATAACTCTCTGTTTAAATATGTTGCCTCAGGGTAACAAACCCATTTCACCTACTTTACAATGTCATAATACATATTTAATGATGATGGATTTGTTAGTAATGAAAGGAAGAGTTTAAATAAACCCAAAACTTGAGTTAACTTTTAAAAATTCAGTATCGTATACTTAATTTTTGTGTTATGAGAAATTGCTGAAATAGATTTGTTGCCTTGAAGCAACACTGTACAACTATGAAATAGATTTAGCCAGTAGTGAGGTGTCACGTCAGCCACATCAGACGACTTCACAGTTGTTGTTTGGTTTGTCATTTGGAATTAAATTCTTCTATTATTATTATTATTCTTCTTTTTTTTTTTATTAAGAGTCCTTTTGTGTTTTTGTTATTTTGGAAATCTAAAAGCATTTTGAAGTGTAACTCTTATTTGTGGTTTTAAATGATTGTTCAAAATCAAACGTTATGTAAACATGATTTCTTTGGAATAGCACGAAATAGAATTTGTCTTTTAAAAGAATTCTTATTATATGTCATATATATATATGTCATATTATATGTTACCTAGTATTTGAACATGAACAGATTGTTTCTTTTTTATTTATTTATTTATTTTTAATTTTCCAGTATAACACTTGGTATCATTTCAGTACCAATATATGCACAAATTTATTCAGTATTGTCATTATATGCCGTTACGTGCGGCTCCTTGTATAGTCATTATTGCACTGCCTTTTTTATCTCAGGTTATAGATCATATTGCAGATTTTTGTATATTTCTATTTGTATATATGCCTGTAGATTGTTTTTTTGGATATATTCTTCTTTTTATCGTGTGTCACCCTAATTATTATAACTGTCCTGTGTTGTGTGACTGATACTGGGTGCTAAATTAAAGTATCTATCTATCTATCTGTCTGTCTGTCTGTCTGTCTGCCTAGCTACCTGCCTATCTATCTATCTATCTATCTATCTATCTATCTATCTATCTGTCTATCTGTCTGTCTGTCTGTCTGTCTGTCTGTCTGTCTGTCTACCTGTCTGTCTGTCTACCTGTCTGTCTGCCTAGCTACCTGCCTATCTATCTGTCTGTCTATCTGTCTACCTGTCTGTCTGCCTAGCTACCTGTCTATCTGTCTATTTATCTATCTATCTATCTATCTATCTATCTATCTATCTATCTATCTATCTATCTATCTATCTATCTCCTTTCCATTTTTGCACATTGTTGACTCAAGCGACCAACCCCGGCCGGTATTATTTTTTAGAAATTGATTTTGATTTTTGTTTTTGGGCTTATTTTATACACAAAGAGTGAACATTGCTCTGTGTGCAATGGTTCACAGAAGAATACAGTCAAATTATTATTTCCATAAAACCTGCTCTTCACACTGAGGAAGACAATCATGATGAACACTGATGAACATGAACATGTTGAGCACATTAACACAGCTTATTTATGCTGTCAACCTATGCAGGAAATGTTTGTCCTTTCATAACTGAAAATAACGGTAAAAAGTTGGAGAGGAAGAGATTATAACAGTTATATCTCTCACATATTCAAATGCACTTGATCTTCTGAAACCTCCTGCAAACACTCAGGCTCCAAACAGACACCATGCTAACAGCTAGCGTCAATAGGAGGGCTGCTATCAGTATAGGAATAAATATGTGATCATTCACTGATCATTTAATGACATCTTCAATAAGGAAACGCTTACCTTGCATTCGATTCAGTTCCATTTCAGTAACATCATGACTTATTCAGCTTCATACATTTCATACTTTAATTGAAAAGATCTGTATTCGTTCTTACATGCGTGATCCTCCCTGAATGTGTGTAGCGCTGCAGCTGGTGAAATTGAGGCGAGTTAGCACATGAGCAGACCTAACCAGTCTGGCAAGATTCAATATTTTTAAATCTGTTTTTATATCATAACACAGTGGTTGCGTATGAAACATTCCCATGACGGCAACACCAGACGGTGTTAAATATCTCAGATATTTCAACACTTAGAGACAGAACTGTGGTATTTCCAAACATGGAAAGCAAATAAGACTGTGCTGCTGTGCAGTTGACAAAGCAAGAAACACTCACATACTGAACGTTACAGTACATATAAAAAAGCTGAGTTTTAATGAAGCGGGAAATTTTAACAAATGAAGTGGCTCTAATGAAGTACAAGGTAGGTGTTTCAAATAAAGTGACCAAGAAGTGGAAGTACAGGGTAGGTGTTTCTAATAAAGTGGCCAGGGTGTTCCTAATAAAGTGGCCAGTGAGTGGAAGCACATGGTAGGTGTTTCTAATAAAGTGGCCAGTAAGTGGAAGTACAAGGTGGGTGTTTCTGATAAAGTGGCCAGTGAGTGGAAGTACAAGGTGGGTGTTTCTGATAAAGTGGCCAGTGAGTGGAAGAAGAAGGTAGGTGTTTCTAATAAAGTGCCCAGTCAGTGGAAGTAAAGAGTATGTGTTTCTAATAAAGTGGCCAGTGAGTGGAAGCACATGGTAGGTGTTTCTAATAAAGTGGCCAGTAAGTGGAAGTACAAGGTGGGTGTTTCTAATAAAGTGGCCAGTGAGTGAAAGTACAGGGTACGTGTTTCTAATAAAGTGGCCAGTGAGTGGAAGCACAAGGTAGGTGTTTCTAATAAAGTGGCCAGTTTGCAGAAGCACAAGGTGGGTGTTTCCAATAAAGTGATCAGTAAGTGGAAGCACCCACCCTAGTGGGTGTCTCTAATAAAGTGGCCACATAGTGGAAGCACAACATAGATGTTTCAATAAAAAGGCCAGTGAGTACAAGCACAAGGTAGGTGTTTCCAGTAAAGTGGCCAGTGAGTGAAAGTACTAGTGTCTAATAAAGTGACCAGTTAGAGAAATTAGTGGAAGTAGAGGCTAGGTGTTTCTAAGAAAGTGGCTAGTGAGTGGTAGTACAAAGGAGGTGTTTCTAATAAAGTGGCCAGTGAGTGGTAGTACAAAGGAGGTGTTTCTAATAAAGTGGGCAATTTGTGGAAGTAGAGGGTTGGTGGTTCTAATAAAGTGCCTGTCGGTGTATTTTGCATTGTCTTAGTTGTATCTCTGCAGATCACTCAGAATCCATAATCTCATGAAAGGTTTCCTTCACTTGCTCAGACATTTGTAGGTCAAATGTATGAGACCAGACAGCTACATCTGCATATGTTTACTAATTCATCACAGTTATGTTTAATACACCTTCTCTGAATGGGGCAATTACCATTACATTACACGTCCCACAACGGTGACACTATTCATGTGGTAGCACTGCCTGGAAATCAAGGCCATAAACATAACAAAGTCTCAGTCTCCTATGTCAGGATGAAGACTGAGCTCTTACTGGCTTTAATGCACTATTAGCAATATTAGTATTTTTGCTGAAGAGTTCCTTTAAGCGCTGATTGTATAAGAAAGTACGGCTGTGCGCATGGGGCGATGGCGCATAATTATATTTGATTATGTGAGCATATTAAAATTCAAGTGCAGACTAGGCTCACTATCTGGTGGGGCTCGTTAGGGAGGCTGTCACAGCGTGAGGCAGCGTTTACTCTGGGAAATGGGCTGGAATACTGAGAGAAGAGAAGCTGTGAGCATATCTGAGTGCTGATCTAGGATCAGTTGTAATCATATACAACCAGATCCTGATCAGAATTTTTGCTAATTCCAGCTGAAAGAGCGGAGGAGCTGCTGGACATGTGGGGTTCTTTATTCTGCCTCAGAGCTTGAAAGCTAATGTACACTATAAGGACAAAAGTGTTGGGACACTCACACATTACACCCACAGGAGCTGTTATGACATCCCATTCTAAATCCATATACATTAATATGGAGTTGCCCCCCCTTTGTAGCTACAACAGCTTCCACTCTTCTGGGAAGCTTCTAAAAGATTGTCTGTGGGAATTTTTACCCCATTCATCCAGAAGAGCATTTGTGAGGTCAGACACTGATGTTGGACGAGAGGGCCTGGCTCGCAATCTCTGTTCTAGTTCATCCTAAAGGTGTTGGATGGGGTTGAGGTCAGGGCTCTGTGAGGGCCAGTCAAGTTCTTCCACACCAAACTCACCCAGTCAGGCCTTTATGGAGCTGCTTTGTGCACTGGGGCTCAATTGTCCAAAATGTCTTGGTGCTGAAGCATTACTCAAATCACTGGAACTAAGGGTTCTAGACCAACCCCTGAAAAACAGCCCCATATCATCATCCCTCCTCCACCAAACTTTACAGCTGGCACAGTGCAGTCAGGCAGGTAACGTTCTCCTGGCATTTGCCAAACCCAGACTCGTCCATCAGACTGACAGAAAACAATGACTTCAAAACAGCCTGTTTTCACAGCTTAGTTTCCATATAAGGACTGAGGAGTAAATGGTAAGTTTTGAAACATTAGGAACTTTAAGAATTGATGGTGCCAGAGATGCAGAAATAGTCTCTAAAACATTAACTACTGTGTTAATGTTCCACTATTCATTCAATGAGTTCAGCACAAAATGTTTAAAAAAATGAAACATTTTGTCGATTTTTAATTTTTCATTTGATATTCCATCAAATGAGTGTCCAACTTGTCAAGTTAGAGCTGTTGTTTAGTGACTTTAGTTTACAGTGACTGTTGAGCCTTAAAGTCCCAGATGTTTATGTACTATATTAAAAGCTTGTTTCAAAACAGGGAGAGATACCCAGGTTTTCATGATAAGGGCTCTTTAATCTAACAAAGTCAACCGTTGATTTCAGTATTACATACTGTTATGTATAAACATGAAAAAAAACATGTTGCATGGCTTCAATATACAAGCAGCATAACTTTATCAAACTTTTGTCAATTTTCATAAATAACTGTTTTTTGTAAACAACGTTTTTTTTAATACTAAACAAAAAACAAGGTGTACAATAATAACACTGATACAAATACAAATGAATGCCGCCCCCCCCCAACTTTGAACTACTTCCTTCCCACCAATCCAACCCCAGTTGGATACCGACACAACAGAGTTAACACAGAAGCAAAAAATATGCACCATAAATCAAAAATAAATTGATATATGCATCCATACATATATAGATACACTCACATCTATGCCTGCTTACCTTATATATACATACATATCACAGTTGTTGGAACAAAACCTCATATCTCAAAAATGGTAACTTTACAGAAGAAAAAAAAAAAAAACTACTTCACTTTTAATGTAAGTTAATGGAACCTATGTGTTCATTTGCTGTCCTGTCCTAGCATGCATTACAGTACGGATACTCTATATCCCTTGTTCACCACTTTCAAACACTTTACTCATGCATTAAGCAGTTCACTAAAGTTACCAGCGAAGTTTTCCCATATTTGGATTGTTGAAGCCTTAGCATCATGTATTCTAGCAGTACAGAGCTCCATCATAACTATATGATGAACACAAAACAACCACTGCCTACTATATAAATAACATAATGTTATACAACTTCATGCATTTTGAGGCAAGCATGTCAAAACTTAGGCATGCAGTTAGTAACCAAGTAGTTTTTTTTTCATTTTTATCATCTCGGTGCCACTTTTTTGTTGTTTCTGCCTCTGCTGTCTACTTTTACACAGTGAACGTTAAAAAATTTCCATGGAAAAAAAGTAATGAACTCTGTAAAGCACACTGAATTTTATACACATATCTTTTGAGGCCGATACTAACTTCATATTCGAACTTTCATTCCACCTTAAGAAGTGCAGCAGTTAGACACCAACTTCTATACAGGTGTCTGAATGTAACTGCTACATTATTTAAGGCGGAATGGGCTTCAGCTTCATTTGATCTCTATCCACTGTACCAGACTCAGGAGCTGTAACACTTGAAGCGAAGGCTGCTGCTTTAACCTCTAATTTCCTACAGATATACTCTTAGATGTAACATTTATAGTTTGTGTGAGTGATCTTGTGCTTATATGTGTGAGTAACTGGCCCAAAATGCTACCAGCTCACTGAGAATTCTGCCAAGTTTCCCCATTACCGACTCCGGCATTGTCGCGGGGAAAAGACCTCCACTACCTCAGACACTAAGCATGCCTTGGCCAGATAATATCACTTAAATCACTTACCTGTGCAAACATGAGATTATTGTCAGCGGATTTCATGTGAGAAATTGGGGACATTAATTCTGAACTGTTATTAGACTATTTCCATTACTTCCAGTAATTAATTTTCCCTCGAGTAACTCAGTTCCTAATTATAAGCTTCCCCACTGGGCCTTAATTGGAGAGGCCTGGCAGGATGTGAAGAAGTGAAAGCACACCTCTCTACAACCTGGCCGTTTCACGCTGCTGCCCCTGCCGCGGTGGATAAAGAAACAGCACATATGTTAAACTGAACCTGCTGTAGTGTGGTCACTTCTTGGGACTGGAGGAGTTCAACACCAAAAACACTGAGTTAGAGTGTTAGCTCACAGCTCTACACACAGCTATGGGTACAATCAGCACTGAGCTAACTGTGGCCCAGACCATGTCTCATTGTTAGGTAATAATAACACTGCACGACAGACAGGCGGACAGACAGACAGACAGACAGATAGATAGATAGATAGATAGATAGATAGATAGATAGATAGATAGATAGATAGATCAATAAAGAGACAAATTAGAAAGATAGATCAGACAGACAGGCAGACAGACAGATAGATAGATAGATAGATAGATAGATAGACAGATAGATAGATAGATAGATAGATAGATAGATAGATAGATAGATAGACAAACAGACAGTAGATAGAAAGACAGACAGACAGATAGATAGACAGACAGATAGACAGATAGATAGACAGACAGACAGATAGACAGATAGATAGATAGACAGACAAACAGACA